ATTTACTTTTAAAAAGTAATGAAATTACATTACTCGTTAATTCAAATATTTTTATTTTAATTATATTTGAGTTACCTAAAATTATTTTTATCACGTTATATTACTTTTTCATTAATAAAGTAAAGCGTTACAAATAACGTTACTCATTTTTATCATTTTTTTTTAACCATATTCAATTCATATGATTGAATAATTATTAATATGTATATATTTTACAAATATAGACCTACACTGATAATAGACCTATTTTAGTAGGTATTATGTACAAATGTACAATCATATCCAGTGGCGCCTAACCTTGATGCTCGGAATACTGGTACGGTCCATACCAATATACATATACAACCATCTACAGGTTGTATATAAATAAACCATTCCATCTATTACTTCACTAAGGGGTAAAAACGCTAAAGCGTTAATCATACCGTAACTTATTCTAAAATCTAAATTACTTCTGTATAAGGAACATATACCTAATTGTTGAGCTTTTCGCCATGTAGATTGGCATAAATGAAAAAAACACCCTTTGACTTGCACGCTATCACCAAACACGTCATTTGTTGCACTCATAGCAGCGATTTCGAAATCCATAATTACATATTTTGGTTTTGGATGTCGAGAAACTTGAATGCATTTAATGATAACTTGTTGTAAAACAGTCGTATACAATTTTTTTGACTTGTTTGATAAAAAAGCGTACACACAAGTATAAAAAAAAAGGTTAGGTTAGAAACTTTACTTTCATATTCTCCTCGTATTACGTAAAGTTGTTGAAACATATTAGATGAACACTTGAATGTACCATCCATAAACCATGATTCAGATTTTGCTAGAATATTTATGGCAAAGTCAGAAGCAAATATCAAAATTCTTGAATCAGGTTGCTCACTGTCAAATATCATGAATGACCGAGGTTCAGCCCCCATTGTAGGTTTCCACTCCTCAGGGATATTGAAATCAGAATTTATTGGTTCTCTAGGTAAATATCTATGGCGGTAATTTCGAATATTTCGTTTTAACGAAGAAAAATTTCCGACTGCTACAGCTGTATCCTCTGTACACATGCAATCATTAAATTACAACGATATTCAATACATTTTTAAATAATAAATTATAAAATAATTGTTGTCTAACTTGGAATGTTGTGCAGGATAGTTGAAATATTTGACTTGGGGTTTCTCGTGTTCCTATACAGATTTTTCCTTTATACTATTTTTAACAACAATTATCTCCTCTATTTTGTTTTTAACTGCTCACTTATGTGAAATTGCATTTGAATAATTTACGTACTGGAATTTCAGTTAGTTCCATAAATACATAAATAAAAATATATTATAATATAATAATATTATAACTTACCGGTTTGATCAAATTAGTTGTAACTTTTCCCGGGCATTTCAAATTTGTGTTTTGTGTGCATTTCCACCTGATAGAATTATTATTCTTCCTCAAAACCACATAAGAATATTTCTTATATACTATTAACTCTGAGCCTCTTTGACTTTCAAAATTGTCCATATTAGGTATAATTTTTATTGAAGTAATAACATACCTACTCAATCCACTATTGCGAATGATATTGTACTGATGAGAACTTTCTGTATATTATAGTTCATGACATTTGTTGATTAATATATATTTATCGTGTCTTATCAGTTATCGTTATCGCAGTCACTCGTGAGTCGTGTTTTCCCATCGATCGTCGGTAAAATAAAATTAAAAATAATCGTTGATATTTTATTTTTTTTCTTCTTAAAAGTTTGGGAAACCTTTACTATTGTGAACCGTACCAGTATTCTGCGTTTATACAGACCGTACCAGTTTTCCGTTTACCCCGAACCTTTTTTAAGCCACTGGGGTACACCTTGTTTAAGGGCACCCACCTACCTACCTTTTGTATATAAAAGCAGTTACTCATGACAAAGTTACAATAACGAAAATTACAATATCATGTCATTATGAATATATAAAAGTAATAAATAATAATAAATGCTGGTATATGCCATACGGTATTTTCGGTAATTACCGAGGTATGGTATTTTCAGTAATTACTAATTACCGGTGTACGGTAGTTTCGGTAAGCCAGCCCTAATCTATCTGTACCAACGTCGGTTTTATCATTATTATTTATTATTTTAAATTGTGATTATTTATTGTCGAAGAAAAATCCTTAAAAAGCCCAGTCCAACCCTTTATTTTATTTCAAAGGCCCGGGTCTGGCCCACCCGGCCCTTACAGGTCTTTAGTTATTACCCAACACTGATGACATATCGATTTTATATTTTATTGTTATCATACTTTGTATTCGACTTAAAAATAAACAAAAAAATGTTGTGAATTTAAATGATGTTCAAATTGTTTCAAAACAATCTTTAGATAAATCGGTGTGTCATTCCCTCAAAAATATTATTCTCTATCTTTTTTGTAATGAGTTATTTTACTTTAAGATTACTTAGAAACATAGAAAAACCGATTCTGCGCAAATACGTTTTGTCTATTTTGCGGGTGGGCCAGAAAAAGAAAACAAATAGTGCGGTGACATCCTCTTAAGTAAAGAATATACAGATAAGACTTCTGAAATATTAAAGTTGCTAGGCAATATATTTGGGATTCCATTTTGAAATCCAGAAGAAGTAGGCAACTGCGTTGTAATGGATTTTGTAAGTGTTAAATAATAAATAGTAAATACCAGAGAACAATAAATTAACAACATTTCCCGATTTTATTTTTGACACTTATATTTGTGACGATGCTATTTCCCCTAGCGTTTTTTTATGTTAAAAAAATAATAAATATAATTAATAAACGTTTTATATTCGTATAATCGTATATTTTTATGCTACTCATTTATGGCCTAATCACCGGGTCAAATTTTTAACGTAAATACTCAATCAATTGTGATAACAATCATTGATACATTTAATCTGAATACCGAGTATTAATGTTTAAGACATCAAATAAGACATGAATAATATGTTCACCGTGACAGTCAGATCAGCTTATTTGTTAAATAGTTAAATGAAGAATGAGGGTTAGGTGCATATGTGGCATGTGCAATACAAAATACATGATAGGGGGACGGAGTGGCCGAGCGGTCTAAGGCGTCGGCTAACCTAACACACACGTGTTCCTCCCCCTACTGACATAATAACCTACAAAACCATACAGCTAATGGCCATAGTCTTCGGGCTTAAGGGGCCGTTACAGTAACATCCGTTGTCTCTGTCTTACAAGCGACTAGGTAGCGAGTAACATAGACAATTGTACACTCAGGCACTCAACAGAACACGAGTGTATAGCTCTGTTAGATTAAAAATTAGAGTGAATCTTATGAAATTCAAACGTAAGATTATTATCTAGGCAACCTCATCATGGGCTTTAAAATTAAAATATAATAAACAATTTTGACAACAAACAAAATTATATGTGATTTTTATCTTATTTTTATAATATTTTCTGTCTATCAAACGCCGTATACGCCAGTAGTGTATCCAGAAATAATTACCTTAGTAGGCCTGAATAAGATAATAATATAATATATATTAAATAGTAATCATCTGAATAGGGGGAATTACTGTATACACTAGACAAACCCTTTGAAAAAATCCTGGTTGCACCACTGTGTCTGTGTGTAAGGCGTAAGCATATCATTACAATACCATTAGACAAAAAATATTATCATTTAAATATTACCTACATGGCTACATATTATTATGAAAATAAATTTACAAGTCTATCTTATACAGTTATATCGTTGTATGCGTGATTTTTTAATGATCATGGATATATATATTAAATAATAATTAATAAGGGATTTCAAAAAAACGAAAAAAAGACTTATTTCTTTGTTCTAAATTGACAGTTTTTATTATCACAGTTTCAACACTTTTAAGCACATAGTTGTATTAAAAGCAAAATTAACTTTATTTTTTTAAATATGGTTAGATATTTAAATGTGATTAGGTTACATAAGAAAATTGCACAGATTTCTATATATTAGTGTAGTATAGAAGTCTGTGGAAAATTGTGAACAAGGAGATGGTGTCATGGAGAGTAGATTGGAGACAGTCAGTGCCTATAAATGGTTATAAAAGCGCTTTTAGTTCATGGTTCATGGTAAATACCATTTTGATTCTTATCATAATAATATACAGCCTTTATCAATTCATTAATTTTCAAACCTGTTGATTAGATCTTGGATCAGCTGAATTAATGAATAATAAATAATAATATTATAGCCATACAAATTACAAAGTTCAAATAGTTCAAACTTAAAATAATCAAATGTTCAATCAACTTAATATATATAATATTATATTATACCTCTATCCTCTATAATTTGTATTTACGAATGAAGAAATTTGGCTGATGTTTATAGTATAAATTATCCAGAACATTAAGAGGATTACAAGCATGTAAGTCTGTAGTTATCTATTAATAAATCGATATTTCACATACTTATACATGTCGAGACGAAAATGTACAATAATATGTAAATAATATATAATTAGTAGTAAATTGTTATTTCTAACATACAATTAGTAAGGACTCAGGAGTCAAGAAATAATTAATATTGTATTCTCTATTGTGTGAGCAATTTTAACATAAAATAAAATATTAAATAACCTATAATGCACTTAAATGCAGCTATTAAGTATTATATACATCATGTATTTGCAATCAAATTAAGTTGTTATCATTATAAACTACTGACAATTATTTAGGTAATAGTTCCTACCCATGTCCTCATATTACTATATCTGCCACACACTACACACCCATCTAAAATAGTATAGTTTATAATTATTAGTGTTGGTATTTGTATATGTGTATATATTTATAGTTATATTGAAGCCTGAAGGTAAGATCTGGATTTTTACTTACCTATTTTATTATGTATCTATTTTGTTTTTTCTTGCTGTATAATGTATCCCTTTTAATTTTAACATGTTATCAATAGTTGAGTATCCAGTAATTTGAAGTTTAATAAATTAATGGGCATGATGGAGCTAGTGAAGATTGCTAAAACAAATTTACGTAATAACTTAAAAAAAAAATTGTCACAAATGACGGCTAGTGAAATCGCCGAACAATCAAAAATCATAACTAACAAAGTAAGTTACATAAATTATAATTTTCTGAGGAATAAAAATGCTCCAAAGTCTAAACTCTTTAATTATAATGTTATCTTTTAGGTTATCTAGGAACATATTTAGTTTTGTTTCCTATTTTATTCATACTTTAATACTTGATTAGTTGATTACAATATTATCCTACTCAATTAATTTTTTATTTAATATAAAAATGATATTGAATTATTTTCCAAAACTGTACAAGTTAGTCATTTTTTTCAACTTGTTGAAGTTAATTTACTTTAATAAAATAACCAACTAAGTTAGAATATAAGTTAGTTTCTGAAATCGTCCAAATTTCTAACTTAGTTAGAAGTTAGTTTGGTGAAAATTGTACTTATGTTAGAGTAGAAGTTAGAAGTTAGTTTATTTTTGTAGATTAAAAAACATTTTTGTAAATATTATAATAAGTAATCTAACTTAAATTATTGATTATAACTGAAAAATTGAATTAAACACCTAGGTATTTGATCAAAATGTTCTAATTAGGTAAGTAATAATTTCAATTAATAGGAAATTAATTAGTATATCACTTATCAGTTATTAGAACATAAAGGATGAAACAAAATAAAAAAAATATATAACAGTATGACAACTTAAAATATTAATTAAAATTAAAATATTCATTTTGGAATAAAAAATAATAATAATAATAATAACTAGGTAGTTAGTTTTTTTTCTAACGAGTTAGATTAGACTATTTTACACATTAAATTCAACTAGTTAAGTTACAAAGTTAATTTGAATTAAAACTAACTAGATAAGTTAGAAAGTTATTTTTAAAGTTTCTTTCTAACTAGTTAGTTCCCAGCTTTGTTATTTGCATTATATCTAGGATAACTTTGTATTGTTTATATTTTAAACTTATTATTTGCAAATTGAATAGTTAAAACACTCAATTTAAATCAAATGTATTTGTAATTAAAAGGAAGAATAATGAATGTCATATTTTCAGATATTATCTCATCCAGTGTACACAAGAAGTAACAGAGTGTCAATATACCTCAGTATGGATTCTGAAGTACAAACAAATAGTATTGTTGAAAATATTTTCGACTCAGAAAAAATATGCTTTATTCCTAAGTGTGTTAATACTTTTTTTTTAATATCTTTTATGTGTTTTTTAATTAATAATTTGATTTTTAGGTACAACAAATCTGAAATGCTAATGGTGAATATAAAATCAATAGATGAACTTAATAGTTTACCAAAAACCAGTTGGAATATATCACAACCAGCCGATGATGATGTGCGTGAGGATGCATTGACAACAGGTACCTTATTAATGATACCTATTATCTAACATGTTTTTTGAATAATAATATGTCCTTTTTGTTCGGTCTTCAGGTGGTTTAGATTTGATAATAGTGCCAGGCTTAGGTTTCACCATGGATGGAAAACGATTAGGACGGGGAAAAGGTTATTATGATCGATGCATAACTGAATACAAAAAAAAATATCCATTTAGTAATTTGAAAACCATTGGATTGGCATTTAGTGAACAAATATGTGATGACATACCAATGAGTCAAGAAGATAGTTTGATAGACTATTTAATTTGTCCTTGATTATTATGATATGTGCAATATTATCTATGTAGGGAAATTATAATAAATGTTTTAGTTTTATGAAATGTTTAGAATTTTAAGTACTTAATTAACTGTGATTAATATTTTTATACATTTAACCTAGATCAGTTAAAATACTTTTTATCTAAAATAAATAAATAAATTAAATATTACATTTTATACTTTGACACATTTATATATCCATTATAATATTATGTTTTTTATTATAAATTATTATTGTTACAATTAATTTACAATAAAATTATCTTATAAGCTAATCAATAAGTATAATATAAACAATAAACTAATAATTATTGTAAAAATGTTTAACATATAGTGTATACAAATATTACAAGTATTCGTAATTCATTATAATTGAATACTAGTAACATTCCTAAATTATAAATACCTAATTTTAGTATTTAATGAGCATACCTGCATACATAAATTACAAATACCATATGGCTATAAATTATTATAATCAGTAATCACAAATTATATTAAAGCTGTATTCTTATATTTGAAAGTTTACAAAATTAAAAATAGGTTCTACATGCAAATATTATAAAATGTCTAGACAAATAAATATTTAAAAAATGAACACATCAGTAATCATTAATTTTAACTGATGACCCATTTTAACTTAGGTATTTATACAATAGGAGATGATATATTTTTTACACTAAAATACTAAATATATTTTTTGGATTTATTTATTACAAAGGAAATGCTGTGATATGATTATATGTATAATATATAAATAATATAATATAGACTTTATGGGTTTATCACATAGACATATTATAATATAATAGACCAGGAGACAGGAATGATATAAAATATTTGAAGCTAACATGTCCATATAAATCCATATAAACCTAAAAAATTATCGAAGAATAATCTGAGGATTTATCAAGAAATTATAACTTATCATAGACATATTATAGGCAATATAGGTAATAGCTTTAAATTGTCTGTCTCTCACGCACAAGTGCACAACATGTTGGCTTCAATGAACTAATAATACAGCTGCCATACATGGTCTATTGTATTATATTATGTCTATGGTATATTATAACTACAAGCATTGATTATGATAATCAATGCTACAAGTTACAACTGATAGCCATGCTATTTTCACAAGACGTTTGTGGAATGACACAAATGTTCATACAATAATATGATTTAATGTAGGTACGTACAAATATGCGAATTTATTAACAGCGATGATAATGTATTAATAAATAATTATAATTTTAAATTTGACGATGCAATAACAATAACAATAATCATTACGTGTATCATAAGTAATATTATTATTGTTATTACGTTGTTTGAGAGACGAGAGTTTGAACGCAATATCCATCAGAGAGAGCCGAACATTTTTTGTCCCCTGGTAAGCGCGAGGCTCACGGTGACCATCGACACGAGGAACATGATCAGACCCACGCACGCCGTGACGAAGCGACACCAACACCTATGCTTCTTCCCCACTTTGATCTTCTGCATCAGCTTTTCGGCTTGCTGCGTGTCCAACGTGAATTGCAGTCCGCGTAACATGGCGCCGCAATCCTAAAAAAGACAAGACAAACGAACGGTTTAGTATTTAGGTAGGTACATGTATTCCAACGAAGAGCAAACTTTTGCAAAAAAACCAAATCTCGATTGGATATTTTCTAAATGCATTGATTGACATGTTGTTAATGCTAAAACCATCAAAGTTACAAATCGTATAGGGGTGCCGGTGCCCTGAACACTAGGCATTTACCAGTTTAGAGCGTGCACTGACTCCTGCAGTCTCCACAATAAAATTGTCATTAAACCCATTGGTTGTATATTTATTTTTCGGGGGGAGGGGGAGGGGCTTTGTTGTTTTGAGAAAATCCTGATGAGGCCCCCGGGCGAATGGTGGCGTACTCTGTTGAGAGATTTCTGAACTCACGAATTGCCGTTCGTCTTGGCATCAGTTTTTTTATATTGTGAGATAGGGAAGTGGTTACACCTTATCTTCTCTACATCGTGCTTGATTCTTACAACTTACAAGACAATGCAATATTCCAAAAGTATCTAAAAATAGTATGTTTTCCCTTGCTGTATTTTCTTTATCATGGTTTGTTAATAATCTAAGCCCGTGGTTCATGAAATTTTCAACAAAATTATTATTAACATTATTCTAATACGATTAAATTTAATTTTTGGGGAGGGGCCCGAGACTTTTTAATGTGGGCCCGGGCCCCACCCCTGGCGCCGCCACTGGTGGTCACCAAACACCTTAGCAGGTTTACCTTCAGACACAGTACCTATACCCTGCTGTAAAAATGAACACTAATGCGAGCAAGTGAGCCATAGTTCTCTTTGATGGCCAATTTAATGACAGTTCATCTATGGAGCAAAACCGTATATTGAAGTAGGTACCTTAAAAGTAGGTACCTACTTTAAAATGTGGATTTTTTTTTTTAGTTGTTCTCGTTAAGATTTCTTAAAAACGCTTAAATATTATTGAAGTTGACAATATTTGTAATATAGACACGCAATCCAATTTCAAACTATTAAAATGTTGTACGTCCTACAATGCTTAGAAGTTAATAATACGGTTCTATTCTACCTTCCCCTATTTGTATTTTCGCCTCGTGCAGTTAACATCGACTAGCGGAATATACATGCGGAGACATAAATAATAGTGAGACAAAAAGCCCAGAAAAATGTTCGATAATATTAGTTATATAATATTCGCTACATTTCCATAAAATTGTGAATTATTAATATAATATACAAATTATATAGGTATTAATAAATAATAGTCATAATCTATCTCAGATATTGATTTTGGATATATCAGAAAAGTTCAGAGAGTAAGTAGTTTAAACCACGTTAAATATAATATCCCAAGTGCTAAATCCAAGTCACGACTTGCGGTTGCCCATCTAGTTTGAATTATTTCACAAAGCTAGGTTCACAGTACACTTGTACACTGATTTGTTCGTGAACTGAGATACACCTATATACATATATTATACACTCTATAGGATTTGCCACAAAAACATGGGTAAAGCCGGGATATCAAGCTAGTTAAATAATTTTATGAAATTCGAATTCAAATTAATGAAAAATATTTACAATAAACTGTAAATACTAATTTGTACTTTCTTATGGGCCTGTTTTTTACCATGGTTTGGAAACTGCAGCTGTTATGGATAGGTATAATAAGGTATAATATATATACCTTGATACCTATACTAATTAGCAAAATTGGACTTGGGATTTGATTTTTAGTGAGTCTTTAGTCTTTAGTGCCATACAACTATGAAATATTAAGTAAGTATAGGTCTTTTCAAATCGATACTTAACTCATAAAACATAGTTCTGTAAACTGTTGGGGAACTTTAATTTACACATTGAAGCGATGATGGTCCCTGGGCCTCTTACCCACCAAGTAATCATATGGGAATACAATATATTATATATTATATATAACATTGATAGCAATGTCTATAGACTATAACTAGCGAGTTTTGATCGTAGACATGTTTCTTTGTTGGATATGAAAATAAAAGTTGTTAAGTCATCAATCACTGCGCATATATATATCTATTATACGATTGTCTGCAAGTGGCTATTTTATTGTTAGTGTGGCTCTACACATAGGTATGACATATGACATACACATAACACATATATACTAGAGCGTTTCAACGTAGGTCTTAAGATCAAATATTTTGTACAGTTGAATAGTCCCTAAACTCCTAAGCAACTACAATTGTATGTGGTACGTTAGGGTGACCATACGTCCCGTATTATACGGGATTGTCCCGTTTTTCCACTTTGTGTCCCGTTGTCCCGACAAAAGTTATACGGGACGCATTTTGTCCCGTATTTTCAAGTAGGTCCCGTATTAATCCCGTTTTTCTCTTTATTGTTAATTTATAATTTTATAATTTTTTTTTTTTTTTATTCTACGATATTTTTGTATCACAATATTCAATAGAACATCTAATCTATACTTATCAGCATTATTTTTAGATTCTTGTCTTAACAATAAATTATTATAATTGCTGCGGGTTGAAAATAGAGAACTAATAATGTCACATCATTATCGACAACGTTAAACCGACGATTATAAATACTAATGATATAACGATAACGTACAAAATGTTATTAATATTATTATATTGATGTGTGACGTCATCTACTAAATAAGTACAATTCCATCCGCCACAAGTTTGTTGTAAAATATAATGTCTATTCTAAACTTCCTTGCAACAAATATTTTATCGCTTTTAAATGATTTAAAAAACAATAATACCTATGTATAATGAAAACTCATTCAAAAAAAAGTACTGATCTATTTTATAATACTTTTTTATCTTACGTAGAAACATGGGGTTGCCACTTTGACCAGTTGAAAATATTTCGCTGGGTCCAACTAATAAACTGTCCTACTTGGGAAAATGTTCAAAAATGTATTAAATTTCTTATGGAAAACAACCGAAATAATTCTAACATAAAATTAGATGAAGATAATTTATTTGATGAATTCAGTCATATAGAACAAATTTTTAAATCACGAATTCATGAATGGCAAAAAAAATCCGCTAAAGTAGAAGTTAAGTGGTGTGAAATATTTGAATACACTAGATAAAGCTCATAACATTGATACAACTAACATATCAAAAATAGTAGAATATTCTTTGGCAATTCCTGGTACAAATGCTGCAGTAGAACGGATTTTTTCAACCATTAATTTGTTGTGGACAGATGAAAAAAATCGATGTTTGGTTGAGACTATCAAATCAATTATAATCGTAAAAACACACTTTAAAAACTTATCTTGTAATGAGTTTTATAATATTCTATTAAAAGAAACTAGGTTACTTGATGAAATCGGTTCAGCACAAAAGTATACAAAAAAATCAAAAGAAGAAATTTACGTGCCATCGTCATCAAAAAAATAATTTTTTTTTGGACTTTAGTGTACATATTATACTTATTAATATTTTATTTGTATTTAAAAACTATTATACAGCATACATTTAATTTGTTTTTTTTATATTAATATATTTAGTTAAAATTAGAATTTCCTTTTTTTTTTTAGTTAAGTAACTAAAGTGTCCCGTATTTTTATTTTATTTTTATGGTCACCCTATGGTACGTTAACCCGTCATTCATATATAGGCACTAGGACTAGGCAGTATATATAGGGTATTAACTATTATTGTGCTGTTAAGACGGTAAAGGGAGAACAGATGATGTAAAATTATCTTCCTGGCCAATTATTATATAATATATCGTTATGAAATGATTCGGATAATATAATAGGTACTAGGTAGTTACATATATTATAAAAAATATTCCAAACGCGTTGCAATCATCATCAAATTGCTCGACAGCCGAGAGCATTCCCACCTATCGGGCAGTCTTTTGGCTCTCGAAATAATACAATTCGATCGCCGAAATTCGAGCGATACCGCTGTCCACTTGTAATAATACATTTAAGTATAGCTATATTATTATAGGTACCTATGTTTTATGTATGTCGAATGTCAATGCACCGTTCACTCCGAGGACCAAGTGTTTAGATCAATCAAATGGCGATAGTAGATACCTATGTATACAAACATGTATTGTATCATTATATAAAAACCACGTGAAAAGCGCTATGCGTTGAGTCGAAAATACGATTTCAGAACCCTAGGTACCTACTGAAATAGACGAGTTTTTATTAATGTATCCAAATGAACCCCCCCTCCCCCCTGGGATTTTGGGTTTATATGTATTTCGTCAAACGTGTATACTAATGTCGTGGTAAACGACTCTAATGAATACTAATAAAAGTTTTTCATTGCCTAGTGACAGTCATACGGTACAGGTAATATATTATAACTTATTGTATGAGTATGAGGTATATACAGGTACCTAAATATTGAGGCCATATAGTATTATGTTGCCATCAAGAACTTATAATAAGTTATAATACTATCGAGTAGAAATGATGTGATATTGATTATTGACCAACAAAAGCATCGTTTGAATTATTTTGCAACAGCCAAATAGGTTATTAGTACTATACAGTCTAGAGTCTAGACTAATATATATCTATAGTCTAGACTCTAGACTATACATATATATTAATATAATAGCTAGGTAGATTTAAAATAACGACTAAACATTATACCAGTACAGTAGTACACTATAATTATGAGTTTAATTGACTTGTAAATTGTAATACTCTGGCACTCTGCACGGTAGAGGATTTAATTGTTTATATAACTATTAATAATTCATATATGTATATTTTTTTTTTAAGAAATAGAGATTGCTATGTGCCGCGCACATAATATGGAAGGATTAAAGTTTTAAATGTTATTATTAAAATAGGTTTTTGTTCTTAAAAGTGATCGAATAAACAAACTATATACATATGGACTTATAATAATTTTTCTTATACATCAATAATTTATAAACACGATCTTTGCAACCCACAATAATATATACGAGTTGATGATAGTTGTGGATAAACGATAATCTAAAACTTAAAAGTAAAGTATTTTTAACCAAATTCCATTGGGAAAAAT